AAATACTGAAGATGGCCAAAATCGGATGATTAACTTGCCTCTTCTGCTCCAAAGAAATTTGAGATGACTGAGTGCTGAAATATCTTCTCCAAATTCCAGAGCCATCAGACCGAAGTGGTCTACAGGTTGGATATCATTTTCAGTGGTCTTATATATGCAAGTCAAGACCTGATGCTTACTGCTGGTATCACTGAGAGCAACATTGCTCTAAGTCACAAACCAAAATACTGGCCTTAAAAGCTCTTCCTCAAAGGCCATATCTTGTTAGCTGAAAGAGGGTCTTACTTCTTGAGTAAGGTAGAGGCTCAGAAACTTCCAATGACTTGTTCAGACTTCTATTTAGCTCCTTACTAAAATAGAAGGTTCTCCTTGAGTCATCTTTTCTACCTTAAACAAGGAAATGGATCTTCCAAGATGTCTGACTAAAGATCATAGAGGAACTGGATATATCCTCCTGGATATTGACTAAAAGAAAAACTATTTTAAAGCAAGGTAACCTCATAGACTGTAGGAAATAATTACCACTGTGAAAATACTTGTCTCCAGGAAATCAGTTTAGATACTTACACTGCCAAAGTTAGGTTTCCAGTGAATTCTCTAGCAAGCACTTTTTTTGTACAGAGAGACATAGACACTGTAATAAACACATTATTCTCTCTATGGACTACCTCTACACATATATATAAAAATATATACATTTTTACATATAAAGTATCAGTACATATCATATATATATCACAACACAGGAATATATATGTAGCATATGTGTTTCCTTCAGGAAAGAAATTCAAGCTCAATAGCAGAGGAGACCAAGTATAATTAATTAAAAGCCAGCATGACAATGACCCACAATTGATGAGGCATCCAGAGCTACAGTGGTAATTACCTCAGCCTAATCAGTGCCCCTTAAAAGTCCTGAGACAAGGCCTTCAAGAGAAACACACTGTTGTCAAGGTCTTATTTTCAAATGGAAAAATAAGACAGTGCCTGAAGCTGACCAGAGGCTGATGGGGTAGGGAAGATGAACAGAGAGTGGGCTCCTTGTAGACTCTCTAGCTCCAGGCTACTCTGTAGACTGATTTGGGGGATGAAGGAATTAGGGAATGATGTCACTGCTACATGCAACATAAATATCAAAAGTAAAAAAGAAACTGAAATTGTACAGAAAATAAAAGAAGTATCCCTTCTAAAGAAAGACAGGGGGAACTGGACTCCGGGCTGCTGGGAACCCGTTTTACTCACAATATATCACTACCAGTGTGCAGTTAAAATAGAGTAGGGGCCGTATTCCAAGGCAGCAAAGAGAAAAAAAATAAATCAAAGATATGTCAATGATTAGAAGTTAAAGAAAATTCCTTTAAACACATCAATCTAGACATGACTTGTTCCCTAGGACTCCACCCTTTGGCAAACTTTTAGAGGCTGGGGGGGGAATGTAAATCATTAGATCAGTTTTGTTATACAGAAAAAGAAAATAGTTAAACAGTTGACTGAAGGCTTGCTCCTTGGCCAGACAGTTGAATTAACTCTCTTCCTTGATGCAGAGCTATGAAAAAATGGAGAGAAATGTAAAAGTTAATCTATACTACCACAAGATTTCCAGAAATGGAATGTCCACACTCGGTATTTCTCCACATGACATAAAATGTTGAAAGTTACTGAATGGAAGTGAGTTGGGAGGTAGGGACGGGGTTGAAATGGGAAAGATTGGGTTAGGATAGAGGGTTAGGAAGCTGTGGACAAAGACTGTCATTAGCTCTGTCCTCAAGGAGATGTATCATTCCAGGATGAATTACTGATATCTGGACTAACAGGTTGGACAAATGACTATGTGGGTCACCTGTCTTCTCCATGTTATAAAGACATGGGACAACGTCCATCCAATGGCATGGGAGCCTTCCAATGCATTAATAACAATCCTAGCTACTTCTGAAAGCTTTTTTTGTAACTGATGCACAATTTCCTCACTTGTCTGACCTGCATGGGAGGTTTATGTTCAATAATTTATTTTATTCTAATGACCCTTCCCTCCCCGCTCCTCACATCTGCAGTCTGCCCTCTGTGCTTTGGCTTTTTAATTACAAAGAATATTCGGACAATTTTGATTGTCATCAAATATTAACCTCTTAACTGAGGGCCTTTGTGAGATGAAGAGCCAAAGGCAGTGGGGGTGGGAGAATGCAGAAAGAAGGGGCAAAATCCTTGTAACACTGACTTGGCTTAGAAATAGTCCTTTTGCAGCAGTCTGTACCTTGTATCATGTGAGATTAGAAGCTTCACCAGTTCAACCAACTTTAAGAGAAATGATGATAATAAAATTATTTTCTAACAATTATGTGCCTCTCCCTTCAAGATGAAGCTAAAGTCCACTGCTATTGGCTTACCCGAAAAAAAAAAAATACCTTAGAGGTCAAATCCTTATTTCTAGAGTCTGAAAATTGGCTTCTGTTTTCTACTATAGTGTCCTGTGAGGGGCATTCCAGTATCAGAGCAAGAATTAAGGAAGTTCTCTCTTCATCCTTCCACTTCCACTCTTGCCTTTTGGTTCTGTTCTCTATCCAGCCATTAGAGAGATCTTTTCAACTAGAATTGAGGACGTTATTCCTTCACTTAAGATCTACCAGTGGTTGCTCACTACAAGATTAAACCCACATTTCTTACCATGGCCCTGGCCTTCCTCTCCGGTCTCATTTCATACCACTCTCTCCAGCAATGTCATTGGTTTCATTGGCCTTTTCCCTCCCATCTTCAAACACTACAGAGTGATTCTTGTCTCTTGGCCTCTGCCTCTGCCTTTGCTCTTCTCTCTACCTGGACTGGGTCTCATCTTCAACATCAGCTCCCAGCTGAGGTCCTCCTGACTTTACAAGGTATAAAGTAGCATCACTATAAGATTACTCACACTCTCAGGCAAGCTTTCCTCTCTTAGCACTAGGCCCTCTCTATATTGACTTAGTTGTGACCATGATTATGGTTTGCCTCCATCCACTACAGTGAAGGTTTCAGGAGGACAGAGACATTTTTCATTCATCTCTCCATCTCTGGCACCAACAATAGCACCTTGCATGAAGATAGTACACAAAAATATGTGAATGACAAATCATTAAGTGAACCAGGCTTGCCATTTCATTGATACCACCACGAAAAGAGGCTCAGAAAATACTCTGTCATGGATCACGGACCTCAACACTTCTTGCCTTTCCCAACCCTTTCACTGTAAAAGTTCCCTCACAAAAGAGTTTATCCTCTTATACTTGTCATTTTCTTATTTACCTGAACCCTTGGAATGTTGTGTTCCTTCTGATGGCAATAGTCTAGGAGAGGCCTAGTCCACTAAGCCAGCCAAGCATAACTGTTGGTAAGAGCCTTTTGAGTTATGGAGTCTGGGGGATTGGACGAGGAGGGAGGTTTATTCTGTGTTTTATAGTCTCTTAGATGCTTTCCTGAGTAAGTTGTCCAGAACTGAGGCGTTCTTGGGTCTCATAAAGTAGAAAGTTCTTATTCTGAGGTAATCAGTGAATACACTATGTGGCAAGAGTTCTGGGGTTAAGGACCATAGTGTTGTCAGTGGAAGGGGGCAAGTAAAACAATGAGTCTAAGCTGCCTCAAACTTGGGAACCAGATGGAAAGAACTTCCACAGAATGTTTTCAAAACCAAGAGAGTACCCATAGGTATTTGCCCCAGAGATTCGGTAACTTCTTTGTGTTCCAACGAAAGAACATTGATATCCTACTCATTGTACATTAACAGTGTCCCCCTTTCTGAGTATAATGAAAAAGATTCTTGCTCTATTGGTATATCCCAAGAGCAGTGCTCTTTGGTCTAGTTTCTGCTTGTGAAAAAATATTCTGTGGGGTGATCTGCCATTACTTATCGAACACAAGATCACTCCTCTTACAAAATAGATTTGGAAACTCAGAGAACAGTATTAGGAGAGGCCTTTGGGTGATCCAGGATCCCTGTATGTTGGCTGTATGACTGTCAGCAGCCTCATCCTCTCAGGTAACTTGGAAGGTAACTTGGAAGCTTACCTTCTTCTTTTTGTAATAACACCTCCTGCCAATTACACAGAGTTATGATGAGGATCAAAGCAATGATCATAAGGAGCTCTTAAAACACTAAATCACATAGGAAAGAAGGCATCATTATTTTTATTTTCTCTAAGGTTGAGAACAATTTCTATTAGGCAATGCAGTATAATTACTGCAAAAGGCACAATCTTCACAAGGCAAAGGCTACTTTATGTCATGGAGCTCATAATACAATGTTCCTGACTTGCTTTATCTTTCTCAAGAGGCCCCACTGACAAGATGCTTAACAGAGTCTTGAGACACAATATTCCAGAATCTACTTAGCCCAATCTAGTTTACCACAAAAGAGCAATGGTACTTAGGGTGCGTCTTTGGGACAATAACAATTGAACCCATTGGTAGTGGCAATATTATTTTCTTAGGGCAGTCTGAAGGTATCGTAACTGAAAACTCTGGCCTTCGGTACAGAGTTTGGTACCTGAAGGCCTTTGGTACCTGCAGAAAACTCAAATGGAAAATTAGGAAGCTCCTATTTTGGAGACCTAGTTCTCAAACTGTTTTACTCTCACCCCTAATATGGCCATCTTTACACTGGCGGCTTCTCCCCACTGGAAATCACTACACAAAAATAGTCTCACCTCTGTGGCCTTAGCTGTCTTCCCTTTTGTACAACATCCTTGACTGTGGGAGACTGCACTCATCTAACTGGGTTCCCTGATAAAGTCAAGAAGTGGGAATTATATACTAGCTTCCACTCCTAGGTGTTGGTGATAATGGTGCATCCTCTACTCTAGCAAAATGAGGACACATATTTATTTCATGTCCCTTTAAACTGCTGAGTGAAACATAAACATACTCTAGAAAACTCTTGATGTTTAGTGTTTCTCTAACAAGAAAAGGGGAAGGAAAACGAATTGGGGGAATAGGAAGGAGAGAGGGAAGGGAGGGGGGAAAAAAACACTACTTACGCCGTTTGCAGCCGCATTTTTTTATTCTTTTGGGATCTGTGATGTCATCATGACAGGCCTTGCAGTAAAAAAATGCCCTGGAGAAAGAGAATGGAAAAACTGACACATTTCATAATCCACCCAAATGAAATGAGTACCACATTTCCTCTGCGGTGGTGCCAAATTAATGAAACACGCCAGCACTAATTTCCTTTAATCTTTTGAAAGGTTTAGACGTTTGCAGACGGAAATGTTTGTTGCAAGACCATTTATTTCAAACACAGGATTCTGTGATGTGAGTTAGTGCTTCTTTTCATAAACTTCCATTTGAGAAAGATCTAGGAAAAAGGCTGCTGATGTGATACGCTGGGTCAACTGGCTCATCTTTTTTTCATTTTCGAAAACAGCATTCGAGGCTGCTTGTCACAACACGTAGGCAGTCAGCCCTGGGCCCTTGGTGATGAAGTTAAATAAAACTCCCAAATCCCCAGAGTCTGGTCAAATGGATATTAAAGGGAACACAAGTATGATGCCCCTCGGTCAAATAAAAACATTAACCCTGTCACTTTGAAAGCACCTTTTCTTGTTAGTTATAGTGATTGAGAGTTGAAGAGGAGGGTGGATGGAAAAACAAAAGCAATGAATTGAGCTTTCTCTGTTAAGCTCGTTCTGGGATTGCTTGGACCATTTTACTCCAAAGCTAGCTGGACCAACTCCCATGTCATCCAGCACTGAGAACATGTAATAAATGAAGGTTTTCTTCTCATTATGGAACAAAGCTCAGATGACCATGGCAAAGGGGTGAGCAGAGACCACTGAGGGGATGGAGTGATAGAAGAAAGAGACTTGGAAGAAGTAACTAAGAAAAGTCCCTAATTTGTCCTAAGTGCCAATATGTGCTTGCAAAGTCTATTGACCGTGTCAGGATAGTCTGGATGAGACAAAATACGATCATTTAAAATCACAGTGCCTAGAAGAACGGCACGGGATCTCTGTAGTAGAGAGGTGATAAATTCATTGGAACAATCTTGTAACCTCTTGGATTCAGGAACCAACAAAATCCGTCTTAGCGCCTTCACCACTCCCAACATGAAATGAAAAGTCAGGGATAAATCTGGTCTTTCTTTGATGAGGGCTAAAGAAATAAACACAATTCTTGACCATGTAATTCCTCAATTTCTTTTTATGTTTCTTTTTTTTTTTTAAACAGGACTTGCATTTATGATTGGCGTCAGTTAAACACCAATGTTTCTAACTTCGGGACTTTGGGATCTGGAAGAGATCTTTGAGATCTCGCAGCCAAAATCTCTGGAATACAGTGTCCTCATCAGTAAATTGTGGAGGTTGTCATGACCTTCCCAAAGTCATCTCATGCTGGAGGCCTGGCCGCCCTTGGACTTCTAACTCCAAGTCCAGATTATCTTCTATACTAGCAGCTTCTCTAATATTTCCTTAAAGGTCAGCTGCTATTCATGTTGCAAAGCAAGATAAAAATGAGAAGAAAAGGTAGCTGACTATTTGCTCTACATGGTAATGTGGTTAAAACCTAACCATGATGGTCTGCCTTGAAACAGGAACAACAGGAAAACAGAAAGCACCCAGTTGGAAATGTAGCATTGCTCCTACTACCGCTGGGCATTTTCCCTGCCATTTGAATCTCCTACATAAAATTATGATAATGGTAATAATAATAATAGTTAGCATTTATGGAGTGCAGACTATAAGTCCAGTCACTATTCTAGGAATCTTATCTGCATTACCAATTTGATTCTCAAACAACCATGTGAAAGAGGTATAATTACTATCTCTACGTTACAGGTTAGGCAACTGAAGCACTGAGAGACGAAGTGACCTGCCCAAGGTCACACAGCTAAGAGTGGAAAAGCCAGGATCCACATCCACACTGTCCAGCACTGGAACCTCTAAAGAGATCATGAAATCATAATTCCAAAAAGACTGTTGAAAAAAATATGGTCTGATTACTTCATGAATTAAAGCTGGGTTCCTTTTTAAATGTTGCATTTTTAATTGTCAAGAACTTTTGTATATTTGTGGTGTACAGCATGTTTTGAAATGTGTGTACATTATGGAATGGCTAAATCAAGCTAATTAACAAACATTGCCTCATATACTTGTTTTCCTTTTATGGTGAGGATTCTTAAAATCTACTCTTCTTACTAATTTTCAAGTATACAATACCTTGTTAACTATAGTCACCACGTCGTTCAATGGATCTACTAAATAAATCCCTCTGTCTAACTGAAATTTTATACCCTTTGGCCAACATTTTTCTTTCACCCCTAGTCCCTGGATATCACAACTCAAATCTCTGCATCTGTGAGTTTGGCTCTTTTAGATTCTACATACACGCTTGTTTGTTTTTGTTTTTGTTTTTAGAGATTTTTGCTATAGGGCACGTGGGCTTGCCAGAGAGACGGAGTCAGAGAGACAGAAAGCGAAAAATCATTCCCCGGGAGAATGGCCACACTGAAATCCCTTCTCCTCCATTCTCCTCTCGGGATTTTGGGCACACAAATGCACACGCCTGGCATGATTTTTAAGCCACCTGGTCCAGGACTTGAACCATGGTCCATTACGTGGGATCCAGTAACATAACCATACACCATCTGCTGGTCCCTAGGTGCACACTTGTCCATGTGAGAACATGTGGTGGCTATCTTCCTGTGCCTGGTTTTACTTCATTTAACATGGTGTCTTCCAGAGTCAGACAAGGGAGGTTAATGAGTAAAATGAGGCAAAGGTCAGGAATGTCCATTGTGACCTGTAGACATGCCTACCCACCTGGAGAAGACAGAATATCTAAGCTCTGGCTGATTTTTGCTATGGGATATTTCTTTGTCAGCACCATTCTCTTTCCCACCTGTCTCTCTCTGCCATCCCTTCTTGGCAAAGCTCCTACCTTCCTGCATACCAGCGACCTGAGCACAGAGTGTTGGTGGGAAAAGGAAACACACTGATTTCACTTTAAATTAAAGGCCCCAGATTCCAGGGCCTTTTCCACATCCCTTGGGATCTACTCCATTCTCCTGGTGCTTACTTTCCCACTCCCAGAACAGCTCTCTGCTCTTCTTACTACTTCCTCTCTCACTCACCCTACCCCTTCCTCAAGTGACCTTTAGCTGCTGACCTTGCCTCACATATCAAGACAACCAGCTCTAGGTCCTTCAAGGCCTGCCCTCATTCATTCCCCTGACTCTTCTGTGTCATGACACGGTAGTGGTGACACTTCTCTACTTAAGGATAACGCTCCTGCTGGCAGCCATTCCTACACTACAGCTTCTCCAGCCTCTGATAGCCCTCTCTCCCTTTGGTCCTGAAGATCTCCAGCTAACACAGCTCTTCTCTGTTGCTATCTCTGGGGAGCTTTACTATCCCTAGTTGTTTGTTCTTAATTTACTGCCTACAGTTTGATGTAATCCCTTCGTAAAACTCTCCTTTTCAGGGTACCAGCAGTTAGTGTAATGGCTATGTCGCTGGACTCCCATGTAGTCAACCGCAGTTCAAGTCCCAGACCCAGTGGATTAAACTCACGCCAGGCGCGTGTGCATGCGTACCCAAGATCCCAAGAGGAGAATAGAGGAGAGGGGACTGTGGTGCGGTCATACGCCCTGGGGGGTGATTTCTCACTTTCTATCTCTCTGTCTCTCTCTGTCTGTCTGGCGAGCACATGTGTCCTATAGCAAAAACCTCTACAAAAAAACAAACAAACAAACAAACAAACAAAAAAACTCTCCTTTGGGGATCAGCAGTTGGCTTAATAGCTATGTCACTGGACTCCCATGTAGTCGACCATGGTTGGAGTCCCAGGGCCAGTGGCTTAAACTCACATGGGCATGTGTGTATGCATGCCCAAGATCCCCAGAGGAAAATGGAAGAGATGGGATTGCAACGTGACCAGCTCCCCTGGGGAGTGATTTCTCACTTTCTGTCTCTCTGTCTCTCTCTGTCTTTCCAGCGAGCGCACGTGCCCTATAGCAAAAACCTCCCCCCCCCCAAAAAAAAAAACCTCTCCTTTTTATCCTTTACATGTGCCATCTGTTTCTTGCTAAGACCCTCTTTGGTATAGCATCCACATTGGCAGCTCCACCTTTTTCCAGATTCTTATATCCAACTATTTCTGTTTTGTTTTGTTATAGGGCACGTGTGATCAACAAAGATCAGGAAAAGTGAGAAATCGCCCCTCCGGGTGTAGCCATACTGCAATCCTTTCTACTTCACCTTCCTCTCAGGATTTTGGGCACACATACACACACATGTACCTGGTGTGTTTTTCAATTCACCAGGTCCAGCAATCAGCCATGTGGGATCCAGTTGCCTTAACTTCTGTGCCACCTACTGGCTCCCAAGTGTCTTAATTATGTCCCCATGTGTTTTTAGTAGTATCTCCTACTTAATATACCCCAAATGGAGTTCCTAACTCCTTACTACACAAAACTTGCTCCTCCTTTAAGTACCCCCAACTCAGGAAGATGTAGTCATCATCTATCCAATTACTTAAGCCTCAATTATAAGCATCCAATTATTTAATCCCAGTAGGGTAGAAAGTGGGAAAAAAGAGGAATCCTCCTTTACTTTTCTAGCCACATTTTGTTTCTGGGTTCCCTGAGCACAACCAACTTCCACCATAGGTTTTCTTCTATCTGATGTTTGCACGATGGGTTCTCTCCTCTCATCTCTGTCTCTGTTCAGTGCCGCTCCTCAGAACAGCATTTACTCATTCCTAATCTAAATAAGTGATCCTGCAGTGATTCTTTCAGTATTCTCTCCTCTCTAGAACAGGAGCCCTCTGAGAGCAATGACTTCTCTCCATTATTCACCATTGTTTCCCTAGCACCAGTATAAAAACCTCCTAAACATTAAGTGACTTATAGACATTTGATAAATGGATTAATGAATAAATATGTGAATGCTATAAAATGTTTGGGTCTGCCATTTTTTTAGGAGAAATCAATAATAAGGATTTTTATATAAAAGTTCATGACTTTCTTTTTCACTTTACAACTAATTTATTATAATATTATATTATATTATATTATATTATATTTTTAGAGGTTTCTGCTCTAGGGCACATGTGCTTGCTGGAGGAAGAGAGAAGATGGTGTCAATAAGAGAGAAGACAGTGTCAATAAGAGGGAAGGTGAGAAATCACCTCCCAGGTGGCTGGACTCCCACATGGCTGATCACAGTTTGACTCCCAGACCTGGTGGTTTGAAAATCATGTGCCATACCACAATTCCTTCTCCTCCCAGGATCTTGGGCACACATGCAAATGCACCTGATGTTATTTTCAAGCCACTGGGGCCAGGACTTGAACCCCAGTCAGCTATGTGGGAGTCCAGCGTCATAACTGCTACATTATCTGCTGGCCCTGTAATTTACTATTTTTTAATGGTGACTCCAAAGAATCTTCAAGCTAAACTGAGTCAATGGGCCACCATTTTGTGACTCGTATATAAAAGACTATGCTCCAAGATGACTGAAAGAGGAAAACACTTAGTGGCAAGGAACAAAGGTGAAGCACAGCACTGCCTATCCGCAAGTGACTTTTAAGACTAGAGTTGGCTGATTTCACTGCATATTTTCTAAAACTCTGCATCAGAGTGTCCCTATGACCTAGAATTCATTAACTTCTTTTGTTGCTTTTTTGCAGCAGAGGGTACAGACTCAATACCAGATCATCATAATCTACTTTTCCATTTTTACAAAACTTGTTTCGTTTCATTCAAATCTCCAATGTCCTTTCTGTGGTTTTCTGCAGCCTTCATCTATTTGAAATCCCCTAACTGACAGCATTTGCTCTGACACATCACACACCACGGAAAATTACAGGCTGGTGTTGTAGCTGATTGTGTCAGCATGTATTTGTGAATACCATAAAGCACTGAAATGAGACATATTGCACTCCCTAATACAGGAGGTAATTTGTTTTTTGGACTGCCTGGTATTTGTGACATTCATTAGTGAGGGATGCAATAGGAAATAGAATTACACAAATGGGAGCTTCATGTTCTATTTGCTATCTGGGAGGTATACACACATGATGTATGGAGCCACTGTGCTCCCCAGCCTCATGTCCTGCTGCTGAGATGCTGCTTCGAGCTTTTGTGTCCCTGTCTGCATGAGAGCACAATCTTTTCTTCCACAGGACCTGGAGGGGAGGCGATGGCTTCAGGCCCAGCTTCAGGCCCATTCAGGCCCCTTTCCCTTCTCAATTGAACCCAGTTGTCAGAATGCCCCTGAGGGATAGATAGTGAGGTCCTCTAAACAGGGCAGGGAGTTATTTCTCTCCCACAAGTGAGTAATGACAATCTTTTCCCAATTAAAGTTATTAGAGAGCTCAGTTTAAAGACACTTTCTTTTTTCTTCTTCTCACAATGGTTTAAATTTTTGTCCTTCCCCAAACTCATGTTTTAATTTAATTACCAATGTAATGATATCAAGAGATACAGCCTATAAGAGGTGAATAGGGCATGAGGGCTCCGCCCTTATGGGTGGGTTTTATGTCCTTAAAGAAAAAAAAAAGAGGCTTTCAGGAGTGGATCCTCTCTTGCTCTCTCTTCTCTCTTGCACGCTGCCTTCCACCATGGGATGATGGAGCACAAAAGCCTTCACTAGATGCCGACACCATGCTCTTAACTTCCCAATCTCCAAAACGGTGAACCAAATAAAATTTCTATTCATTATAAATTATCTAGTCTGTGGTATTCTGTTATAGCAGCAAAAAGCAGACTAAGATGCTCTTCCACCTCACATTCCCTTTATCCTAAAAGCTTTTGTAACTAGTATGGCTTATGTGCTAGAGTGGGTGAGGAGACAGAAAATCACAAGCACCAGTTGTCACATATCACCATTCTGTGCTCAGCACGTCAGACTCGCCCCTCAGCAAATCAGTAAGAGGACAGTCTCTGGAATCGAACTTTCTAGCTTTAAATCCTGGCTTTCTTGCTCACTAGCAGTGTGAATTTGGGCAAGATAGTTAACTGTGTTTCAGTTTCCTCATATTAAAGGGGGAAGTAGTAATATTACCTATCTGTGTAAGGCTGCTCAAGTGAGCTCACACATACAGAAAACCTAAAACTTACAAAAGTTCTGACATGCAGTAAACCCTCTCTGAAAGTGTGTTCGTATTATTAAATTTGGTAGGAAATGAGTGAGCAAATTCCAATCTGGGCTCTGGCACTTTTTAATTGGCTGCATGGCTTGGACAAATTATTTCAATTTTGCAGATGAGGACACCAAAGCCCTGAGTGTTTAAGAAGACTTACCTTCCAAGGTTATCTTGGGGAGTAGGAATAAAGAACATAGCACATTTAACACAGGCCTGGCTTTGAGTAGAAATTCATTAAATACAATAGACTTCTATAAATAAATACAGAACTTTACAGCTGAAAATATAGTTAAAATATTTTACGTAACATTATTGTTGAGCTTCGTGACTGATCCATCTGGTCATTTATGTCACATTTTCTGCTCGTAAATTTTTCCAAATTCATAGGATAGAATCAAATGTAACAATACTCCATGTTGTTCTGCAAAAGGCCCTACAATTCCCTAGGCTGCTTAAACAGGTTTACGGATACTAATAAAAATGTCATGAAACATTGAAGCCAAGAAAATCCTGGGCTGTACCTGTGGAGGCTTAACAATTGAAGCTGACAACTTCAGCCACTTACCTAGAAAGCCACTAACAAAAATACAGCCAGTTTAATATTTTTTTCTGAAATTAATCCAAATCTTTTGAAACTCCATTTGGTCCCTACAGTAGAAAGCTGATAATTCTCAAGGAAATTTTCCTAGATAATAGTCCACAAAGCGCACTCGGCAAGGAGCCATTTGTTCTGTTCTGTTGTTCTAGGTCGTCAGGAATCAGGAATAACTCTAGAAAGCCATTCAGCTTTTCAGACCTCAGTTTCCTCCCTTGTGAAATGAAGGAAAAGGTGACTAGGCCTCCTCTCACTAAAATTGTATTATTCTCATTTTAAAATGTGGAACTGACTATGTAAAAATGGGGCTATGAAAGCACAATTTCTTGTTCCTGAAACTTTGCACTACTTGATGCCAAGCATGTTAAGAAGTTTTGGGGTTAAAGCCTTGTACATATGGAAGCATGCCCACCACAGTAGGTCCAAATGTCTATGGCTGGGCATAAAGGAAGGCAGATGAAAAAACCCTCTTACCTTTTAACTTCTTTGGCATCACTTGCGATGAAAAATCCTAAAGTACCTTCTTGGATCTTAAGATGGTTTCCAGGATTAATTAATATACTGCTCAGTGAACAAAAACAAACAAAGAAGACACATTTGTGAGGTTATGTTCTGAATAAAACCTTGAAAGCCAAACCATACTATTATTTTATAGGGGGCCCACTAGTTTAATGTTTTTCCCAGAGATTTATCCACAGCCTGATTCCCATCTCAGGAAGTTGAATAATGCCATCATGACATTCGATTGCTTAATTCCCAGGCTGGTATAATCCCAGTTGAAGAAATCAAAGCAAATCTAGGTTTTAGAGTGTTAGTTTACATGATGACGCAGTTTAGCTGCCATCATGAGCATCTGACTTCAAGTAAAGCTCCTCATAACATATCCCTTTTCAAACCACTGTTGATGGTAACACCAAAGAGTTACTGGTCTAATAAAGTTCTTGCTATGCCAATTTTCCATTATATGACAGAGCATTAATGGGACCCCTATAGATATACAAAACATACACTTATACACACCACATATTACTGTGGGGAATGGTACATGATACCCGTAACCAATGTAGAAGCAAACTGACCGTCTTTATGACATTGATATGGATGGACATGGAAACAGTTTCCATGTCTAGGATCTATAGGAAGAATCAGATCTAGCCAAACAATGACAAGAAATACGTGAGCAGTTGGGCATACTTCACGATTCCAGCCTGCTGCTTATAGAAACATATAGGGTGTTTGAATAAGATGCATATCTAGTATCTCCTAATTGGGGAAAATCTGCAATTAGAAAACAAATTCAAATTATCCCAAAAAAAAACCTTTCCCTGTAGGAAAGTATGAACCTAAATATACCCTGTCCTATTTCAAAGTGGTATAAATAGATTAGCTGACCAAGTTGTGTTTGGACTGACAGAAGAGATAAATGCACTCTGATCTAATAAATGGATGAAACAAACAAGTTTAATTTTCTGCAGATCAAAAGCAGAGTATAGGAATATCTTACACAGAGACTGACATGAGGCTTTGGACTTAATGGATTCTAAATTAAGGGACTAAATTAAACAATAGATACAAGAGAAGTATTCTTTGATCTGAAAAGCTAGTGTTTAAGGTAATAAATATTTAACATCAGTCTAAAGAAAGTCCTTAGCTGACCAAAACAATCAAAACTGAGGGTGGTAATTAACGTGTAATCTTGTTCTACTGGAAAACCATTCCAGAAAAGTGCTATGGCCAACAGAACAATATCGCTATAGTAATATAGTAAAGTTGAAGGACTCTCAGCATATAATTATTGAAAAATGACCCCAGGTAAACTGGAAGGACTCTCAGCATATAATTATTGAAAAATAATTGTGGTCACAAGAACAGCCACTGTTACCTCTAACAAGGCCTGACAGAAGAAACCCAAACCTGTGTCATTGCTGTAATCAACACTGAATAGTAGCAAGGATCTGTGAAGATCTGACTGTCCTGCCCCGGAACCAGGAGATTCCTCCAACATCAGATAGCAGGAGTCCGCACTAACAGCACAGCTGGCCACAGGCAGTACCACTGCATAGCCACCTTCTAATTACCTCTAGGCCAACTCTTCACACTGGCATAACAAACCCTCTGACTTCATGCAATCACAAGGGAAAAGGGTCAGAGATAGAGTTTAGATGGATTTCTTTTTCAAAGCCAATTAAATACAACATTTTAGAAGGGCAGAATTCTGAATTTTGCACATTTTTTTAACCTTCTTTCCTGCAAGGCAGTTCTTATATGCCTCAGTTCTGCAATCAAAACTTGGTCCAAATCCCAACACTGCCACTTAGTAGCTGTCTGACTTGGGGCAAGTTACTAAACCTTCTTAAGAATTCAATTTCCTCATCTAAAAGAGGGGGCTCATGATTATAATAGTTTTTCTTCAGAGAATTAAGTGAGGTAATGTATAGAAGGCTCAAGGCATGTTGGTTATTGTTCCTTTTATTATTTTACTCTTACAAAAATAACAAAACAAAAAAAGTCAATGTGCATTTTATTTTCAACAGAATTACCAGAGATTTTCTTTAGCTGGCCTCATGCAATGGAACGCAGAGCTTATAAAATACCCTGTCCATCATAGGATGCAGTTACAGAGTGAAGAGCTGTACACTCCAGAATAATGTATAAGTGCATCCGTGAAAAACTCCATGCACTGCTAGTGCCTGAAGGAGCTAGCTCTTTAAAGTTAGTAAAGTCTACATTTTGAAATGCCTTCATATAAGAATGTGATGAAATGTAAGAAAAGATTCTGGGTGAAAAAAAAATCCTATCATGATGTGAACATCTAAATTCAAAAGGAAAAATTTGACACACAACATCTTGCTGACACCTATGTACAAAAAGAGGCTTGCATAGAACCCTCGGCTTCCTTTGCAGTAGGTGCTTCATTAATTGTACTCCAGTGACCGAGCCCACTGTGTCCTTGTGAAGCTCGGTGACAGCAAGGATCCTATGGATGAAATGTTTCTTTTCATTTCCTCTGTTCTCTATCAGCACTGAACAAGAATTGGCCTATAGTGAAAGTTGGATTGGCATTCTGGAGAGTGCAGGTTGAGATCACTTACTACAGCTTTTAAGCTTGCTTTAGTCAATCTAGTGTGGTGAAGAGGACAGATTCTGAGCACAGATAGGAGGCGCGTTTGTGTTTACGTCTCAGGTTTGCCATTTTGATGCTGGCTAAGCACTTTGCCCTCAGTTCAAGTTCTGGCTTTGGGCACACGGACGCAGCCAAGCCTCATTCTCTTTGTCTGAAAAGTGGGGTAGAAATCACTAGTGTACTGTGTCTCTAAGAGAATTGAAGAATCTACATGTGCATAAGAATGTGATGAAATGTAAGAAAAGATTCTGGGTGAAAAAAAATCCTATCATGATGTGAACATCTAAATTCAAAAGGAAAAATTTGACACACAACATCTTGCTGACACCTATGTACAAAAAGAGGCTTGCATAGAACCCTCGGCTTCCTTTGCAGTAGGTGCTTCATTAATTGTACTCCAGTGACCGAGCCCACTGTGTCCTTGTGAAGCTCGGTGACAGCAAGGATCCTATGGATGAAATGTTTCTTTTCATTTCCTCTGTTCTCTATCAGCACTGAACAAGAATTGGCCTATAGTGAAAGTTGGATTGGCATTCTGGAGAGTGCAGGTTGAGATCACTTACTACAGCTTTTAAGCTTGCTTTAGTCAATCTAGTGTGGTGAAGAGGACAGATTCTGAGCACAGATAGGAGGCGCGTTTGTGTTTACGTCTCAGGTTTGCCATTTTGATGCTGGCTAAGCACTTTGCCCTCAGTTCAAGTTCTGGCTTTGGGCACACGGACGCAGCCAAGCCTCATTCTCTTTGTCTGAAAAGTGGGGTAGAAATCACTAGTGTACTGTGTCTCTAAGAGAATTGAAGAATCTACATGTGCTGAGTGGTAGGTACACAGTAGGCCCAGGGAGCCCTTAATGCAAGTTTACCATTAATAAGGAGTAGGGTGATTACAAAATGAAACAAGAGATAAACTCTCATGGCAACACAGCTCTCTACTTTGTCTTTGGTGCTAATAAACTGCACAGAAGGTAACGTACTGGCCTGGAAAGACCACTGTACTGACTGCAGTATCCGGAATACAATATCTCTGCAAACACCAGGAGATGGACTAACTTGGACTGGCTTTGGGCTGCACAGTAGAATATTCTGTTCTTTAAATCTTATGGCTGATTGCGTAAGGTGCCAAAAGCATCTCCAATGACTTCACAGTCTGTGCAATTCTGGGATGGCCTCTTGTTCCCTACAAGCAGGGGTGAGAAGGTTTCAATCATCTCTAAGTGGGGTGTGAGGCAGCATCATTTGCAGATATAGAGATAAAGCTAAGGTTGCCCTCTTTGTGGGAATTGAAAGAATGAGTTCAGCCTTGTGAATTCAGAAAGGAAGACATCTAGATGCATGAAGATGCTCATTGGGGTGGAGTCTGCTTACGTATTTAAAGTTTTCATAAGGAAGTGCATACCCTTCCTTCTGGGGACCATGACACATAATACACAGTATCAAAGAATCTGAGGAAATGCATTATTGCTTTTGATATTTCAGACATTAAGTATTCTATCCACATTGCAAATCTAGAAAGTGGAAGTAAAGTGGTAATCCTCCTCTTCTTGAAAATATAAAAACATAAAGACTTTAGAAGAACTATTTTTTTTTGCAAGATGCCTACTACACTTAGGATTTATTATTGACCTCCTAATGGGAATACATAAATTTTCCAAAGATCTTTGATCTCTTTAGGAGTATATCCAATGTTAAGTCTGTCTTGCCCTCAGGACTACCAACACCTCCTTCCCTGTGTGTCACTTTAAATCAGTTCTCTGGCTCCAACTTTATCTAATTCATCAACCTATTGGAGGTGTATCATGTGAAGAATAAAGCACATCTCTAAGAAAAGGAGATCATATATCCATGAGCAGAATTCCAATAAAGACATCTTCTAGGCAGAGTTGGACTTTCCCTCGTTTTGAACATCACAGAAATTATCCTCTCCTATGGCTTTGCCGATTTCAAATGAAAATACCTAGTCTCAGCTGGAAGCACAAGGCTGGTGAGGGCCCTTCTCCAGGGATATTTGCTCTCCAGTGCTACGTCTAAACTTTTCCTTTGTCTACTCATCCATTTTCTGTAAGGAACCTATAGCTGAACAGAGGGGTAAATAAACAGGATCACGCTCTATTTACTTTTAAGTTTCTCATAGTAGTATACTAAGAGCCCTGCATACAATAGGTGCTTTGCAATTATTTTTTGAATGAATGAAAAACATGTCATTGGTCTCAGTTCCAAAAGTTTTCCTTTTCCTCTCTAACAAGGAGAAAAGTAGTCACTGCTGTTCTTTCAAAGACCAAGCTGCAATTCTCATCAGTCAGGACCAGCAAAGGAGTGGCCACATCTCTTGTAGCAGGTTGGCCAATAAGCTAACAATCTCTCAGAGGCAAATCTTCAAGTACATAACAGTGTATCACCTGGGAAGTTAGACCAATTGATCTCAATACTGAAAACACAACT